ATTAAATACAAGACTCCAAGCAGTCATCTTTGTGAAGACATTTCTTTCAGACTTTAGCAAATTAAACTTAGAAATATTCTATTGTCCAGGACTGGGCTATTGAAAGTCCGATAGGAAATCACATTTTTACATTTAGAATATAATTTATAAAGAGCTCTCTCCTCAAAAGGCCCACGGCTTCATTCATTTGTAAATCTTGAATGAACGCAAAAATGTCAACAGTCTGGTCATATGCTTTCACCTATCTTCCAAAACTGCTTGATTACCAACCTTTCCAATTTTGTTTCTGTTTGTTACGTCTTAATTTATCCCATGATAAAAAAAACACAAAATGAAAAAAAAATGCAAACCGTAACTAACTCCATTCCACCAGCTCAAATGTTCATTTTCACCCTGAATGACAGCCTGGATACTTAGGTTGGAGTTTAAACATTTGGTGATTATTTGTATGAAACTGATTAACAGAAACTGTCTGACTAACTCACAGCAGTAACTTCAGCATTTACTTGTTCCTTATTTATTAAACAGTGGAGAAATGGGAAGTCTATTATGTGAATACGGTACAGAATGTCACTGAAAAACATGGACATGTACAGCAGGTCATAGTTTAAAGGTTTTAACTGAAAGTCCTATCATGGATAACTCACCTCATATTATGTCTGAGATGTTGAAATTTTCTTACACAAAGCAGCAACATCCAGACTCGAAACCAAAGGGTCTAAACATTCACTGCATGCTCACTTCCTAAATACATATGTACCTAAATACCAAACTTCTCACTGCATCACTAACTCAGAAAGTTATTTCATGGAGACATTACCATCTAATTGATGACTGATGATCCTGTCTCCACCATTAGCAGACTGGAAAATAATCGAAGACCCAATAACATTTTTTCAAAGAACACCCTTCTCAATAAAAAACAATCTTCACTACATTTCATAGTTGTAATCCCTTTATAACCTTTGTACAGTAAAGGTTTGACATATTGTAAGTGTGAAAGTAATTTCAGGAAAGGTACATTATCTTATCAGTGACTCACTGTGTGTGAATTAAGCATTAGTGAGTTAAAGGATGCATTTGCAATGGTATTAAAATAGTTCCTTTAGCCCATTAATGTGATGGATGGATGAGATCCTTGGATCAATTAACTACTATCTACCAAAAAGTGAAGATGGGCCATATGGCTTCCCCTCATTTGTACCTTTTCTTATAATAAGAAAAAAATGCAGCAGGTTCTCAGCTTTAAGCAGAGCAAGTTTACTTAATTTTATCCACAAACTTAATCTGCAGGCTCAACGGGATAATAAAAAATAAAGTTTCTATCTATGCAACTGCCATAAGGTGCTTACATAATTATATATATTTTTGGGCTATACTGGAAATATATCATTAAACTAAATTTAAGAGCAACTTCCTCACACTGATTAATAATGGACACAAGGGTGCAGCACACTGCCCTCTTACCAGTGAATAGTTGTATACTTTCTAAATGACACTAGAAGGCGGCTCCACAGCCGAAGCATTGCGTTTCTTTTTTCTCTTTTCAGCAGAGAATAAACCTTTACTTGTTCCTTTACTTTCTAAATCTCAACTGAATAGTCTATCAAATAGCCTATCAATACAGTCTAACAGAAAGAGACATCCATTCCTGTTGATTTAGTATTAAAATTTCAATTAATGTTAAGGCACCTGTAAAATCTTGTCATTTCACATACTAATTCAGTGTCTTATAAAGACAGTACTTTATGTGAAACTTGTCAATAGTGAGGGGGTGTTTAGAATTTAAGACTCTTAAGTTCTGAACACTCCTTCTCTTTCAGATTCTGCCTGAATGGAGAACAACAAGTCCAGAGTGACCTACACTAGGATGGTAATTCAGAAAGACTCCCTGAATCACGGCCCTAGGCCTAGTATTTCCCAGTGTTTGACAAGGAGACGGGGACATACTGTGTCAATCAGATGTTAACGACTCCTTGAAAGAGCTTTCCGAGTTATTTTGAACCTAACACCACAGCATCAAAAGGCAGATCGTATAACCTACTGCACACTACATTAAGGTGGAAATCGCCACTCTCTAAGATTATTGCTACCAAGCGAATTTCAGCATCTGCATAATTACGAGTTCTACTAAAAGGTGTAAATGGTTGTCAGTCATTGTACATTACAGAGCATGAGAATTATTCTCATTTAAATTAGGTCTATTAAAATGTTATTGCCACAAGAAACACCAATGCAGTGACATTAAAATTAACCAACACAGAATATCAATTCTCAAAGTTACGATGCACCTTAGATTTAAGACAAAACATTACTTAATACAGTTTGTGCTTAACCTTTATTTTGCCACTTTCTTGAAAAAAAGACCACTTTTGTTGCAAAGTATATCAATGGCATGCCTAAACCAGTCAGAAATTACATCATATAAAAGGTTAAACACCAGGCACTGAAAGGTATCTGTCACATTAAAACAAAAAAGTATGTCTTCAGTCAACAGTAAAAACACCCTGGCTCACAGCCTGCCTAGAATTGCTGAAGTGCCATTTAAATGGAGACCACTTTCTTGAAGAGCAGACATGGTAATCATTCGTATCCAGTCACAACAAATTTACAACCTCTCAGGAAAGAAAAACAAAGTCTCAGGAAATTTATTGCAATTACACAGGGGATGCAAAGCAGTAAATTTCCATTTTATTTTCAATATTTTCTTGTAGTGTTTCAGTGCAGTTTACCTCTACCATCTTTTGGGACAATATCTAAACACTTCTAGAACTCGCTATTTTAAAACCTTTAAGGAGTGTTTAAGTGACCTACTCTCAATTTCAGATTTAGAAATATATGAAGTGTCAGAGACTGCAAACCATATATTTTTAAATAAAGCTAACTAAAAATCCCTATACCTCCCACACACACCAATCCAAACAAAATAATGTACAAATTAAATAATAAAAATGAACACTTTTCACGAAACTCATGAGTCAAAGCAGTTCTCATATTTGCAGCGCTGGGCACATTATAATAGGAGACTCAAGCGAATGTACAGATTACATAATTAAAGAACAATGACTGTGCATGATTCATCACTGACATTTACTGAAATTACATTAAACAGAAGCCTTAAGGCTTCTTGCAAGAAGATATTTGGTTACGTCAAACCAAGATGGGAAAGGGGAGGTTTCAATGGAAATGAGATTCCACAGGAAAAGTCCAACATTTTTTTTCAGTAAACGACCACTGAGCAAGGGCTTGGTCACAGTGGTAATTGATGTAACATTCTGAAATGGAAACGCATCTAGTCCCTTCTCCTTAGAACCCCACTAAAGCCTACCTTAAACAATAGTACTGTGGTGCTAGTTCTTGCCAAACATTATAGGAAAATAGATAAACTCTGTTGTAGCTCTGAAAAAAGCTAAGGGGGTAGCAAGTCACAAATTGCGAAGGACGGAATTGAAAATATTTCACGGAGTAAATCTTAAAAGTATATTCTGAAGCAATAAGTTTCTACTAATCAAAGCAGTCGCTAATCAGAATCTTCAGAATAAAAGGCTGCACTGTCTATTGTCTTCGGGTCTGGATTTATTTTAATATCTAATTTGCTAACTATTTTGCATAACGGACACTTATTTTTCAATAGTCAAATTTAACTTTCAACTAACTGACCTAATAGATTCTTTTACAGGGGGGAAAAATGTTCCTTTTTATGTTCCTGCCATCTGACATGAACAGGGGGATCTTAATTTAAATGCAATTACTCCTTCATGATGAAAAAGCAATGAACAGATCAATTCTGACAGCCGGCCAATGTTAGGAAATTAGATGTATTGCGCTCTATCGCTTCTGTTGCTAGAGTTTTAATATACATTTTACTCCAAACTCTTCGATTAAAGGGTAATAAATCCACAATGCAATAAATAAAACATTAACCACAGAAGAATCAGTTTTGTAAAGTCTGACTAAACCGTATTATTGCTACAAAAGCTTAAAGCCACTATATTGCATTGTCGATTATACAGATGGGTTCGGTCTGTAAAGATTTAACTTCCTCTAACCTGTTCAATTCAAAGATTTATCATCCCTGTGGAGATTTGTTTTATGGCAAAGTCCAACACAACAATACAACAAAAACCGATAAACATCACAAAGAATACAGAACAATTTGTAAAGCGCACTACAGCGGTGCAGTTTCAAAGCGCCCGAAACTCAGACGTGGAATCTCACATTCTGCTGTTCTGCAATTGAATGACAGACTGCGTGCGTGTACACCAGGATTTGAGAAGATGTCATTTTTTAGATGGAATCCTGAACAGTAGTCTTTTCAATTCATTCCTAAACACATTTAACCTATCGAAGAAGTTAAAATCCCTATTTACATGCCAGTACAAACCATGCAAGCAGTGAATGTTAAATTAACAGCTGATCAATTCTCATACACAGGATTCATTTAAGAATCAGTGTCCCAATACGGAGTTGAAAAATGTTTGTGAGAGAGCAATGTGGGGAAAACTAAGAAAAGGAATTATGAGTTGTATTTCCATCACACAGAAACGGAAAAGTAAAAAAAAAGAAATCGAAAAAATAAAGAAGCAGGTCCTACTACTAATAACACTGCTAAAAACAGAAGTGGGGGGATTTTAAATAAAACATCTTGCAAAATAAAGTGTCGTGTTTTCGAAAGTTGTGTGCACTCCCTTTGTTAGTTGTTTCGTCTTTGCTTGGCCTTCTGTGACAGTCAAATGATAACTTTGTTCCGTTTCCATTCAAAGGAATTGTATATACCTTACAAAAGAGACCATCACCCGACGAGCTCCGAGACAGATATATTAAACCCGTTTGTCTTTCATCTTCCCCCCCACTGCAGGCTTGTTTCTCCAGTTTATCAACCACCGAAACACAATGAGACTGAAGAAACAACAGCCACAAACCAAACGCACCCTCTTCTCCTGCTTAGTTTTCAAACACAGAAAGTCTTTAACAATTTAGAAAGAGTTGGTTAAACTCACCGATAAGGCAACAGGAATCCATAATCCCAAACACAATAGCAGCACTGCAGTGTTATGCATCCTCATTCTGTCTTGTTGCGAGTTTTCTTTGAATGTTGGGAAACTCTGTTCTTAATTAAAAAAAAAAGCAACCGAGTAACAATTCTGTCCTTCAGTCCCAGTAGCGTTGTCACGCTTGTGGTGAATTAAGAACAGAGAGTGAGAGCGAAGATTATAATAACTTCCTCGGCAGGACTCCGCCCTCCAACTGATGCCCTGCGCTCTGTCTAGTCAAGGTGAGCTTGCAAGAACCGCCCTCAGTCCAAATTTGGACACATCCGTTCCTTAGTAGAGGGTAGTACTACCGGACAAAAATCTGACATGCGTGATTTTTGTGTTAGCGGAAGAAACTAACACGTAAACGAGCGACATTTCATAACATTAAAAATACGGAATAAAACGAAGGAGAAGTAGAAGGGGACAGGGGAATCAATATAAAACTGATTGTTTATGGTAATAATTTAGATATTGTATTTGAAAGCACACTTTTAAATCATTTAAGGAGAAAAAACACTTTATGACTATGTTTAATGAAGGGTGTTTACCAAGGAGAGTAGACAACAAGGCTTATGCTGAACAAACACAAATTCTATACTTAAGAACTTAACTTTGAAGTGTTAAAGGTACTCGAAGCCCATATGATAAACATACCTCCATGGCCTGAAGTTACTGTACTTCAGGAAACAATAAGCCATTAAGACAACACTTTCAAGACTTTCAAGACAGGGGCTGTACCATCTGACTAGAAATTGACTAATACAGTGCCCATTCATAAACAAGTGACAAAATGGAACCAACTAATTTTAGACCAATACATCTTATTTCTGTTACATACTAGGTTAAGGAAACAATAATTAGAACTAAACTATACAGATGAAAATCTGTAAGGCAATATGATTCTAGAAGATAATCAACATGGATATAAAAATGTAGTTCTTAATTAATTTAAAAGTACTTTGTATGATGTACATCTGCAGAAGATATCATTTGAAATATTTAGATTTTTCAGAAGACGTCCCATAAACTAATACTTCCCAATTTACAGATGGTTGGCATGCATTGTACTTGGATTACAATGCTTGTAATTAGTGGAGTACCACAGGGATCTGTATGCGGACCATTGCTCTTCCTGATTGATTTTCATTATTATGTAAATTCTGGTACAATTATTTCATTACTGATATTCTCATATGATACCACAATAGGATTGGAAAACAGTGTAAAAGCTTGAATTTTAATTTTGACAAGACTAAGACTAAATTCAGGACTGAGAAAAAATCCTGGTGGATTATACAGTAGGCAAATGCGGGATGTTGCTTAAAAGTAGCAACAATCTGAAAATTGTATTGTAACGCAACAGGGGTTCAGGCGGGCGCCCCCTGCCGCATCGTCGGGGGCTCAAACCCGGGACTCCCGCATCACTCAACAGGGACCCAGCCCGGTGAGCTAAAGAGAGATCTCTCTACAGCCCAGTAGCTGTAGTCCTGCTATCACAGGGAAGGGCGGTGACGTCACCTGCTCTGGTAAGCCGGCTCTTACACAGTACCTGTCGGCCGTAAGATTTACAGTATATGTAAAGTGGGAAATGTCACGCATAAAGAGACCACTTATGACTTCAATGTTTATGTAGCACATAATTTTTATCTTCAATCTAGACATTGTGGAGAAGCAATAAAATAGGCAATAAGAATGTAAGAATAAACCAACCATAGGTCCCCATTTAGAATAATGTGAATATTTTGATCACCAAATTACAAAAATGATGATACTGCTGTGAATTGAGAGAGCCGGGGGTTCAGATGAATTTCCTACCCTAATGGTCTAAAAGAAATAAATCTTTTTGTCTTGACAGGTTTGAATAGAGAGCACACGATCCATTTTAAATAGCAAGAATACATTTGTTTTAAATTCATTCTGCCCTTAAATTGGTGTTAGCTCTACAGCACTGATTGCTGACATACTAAAACCCTACAGTAATTCTGGGGCGGAGCGGTGGTTCTGTGGCTAAGGATCTGTGTCGGTGGCTGGAAGGTTGCCTGCTCAAATCCAGTGGCCGGCAGAGGCATCCTACTTTGTTGGGCCCCTGAGCAAGGCCCTTAACCCCAACTGCTCCAGGGGCGCTGTACAACGGCTGACCCTGCACTCTGACCCCAAGCTGTCTCATGGAGAACAAGTTGGGGTATGTGAAAAAGACAAATTCCTAGTGTAAGAAATTGTATATGGCTAATAAAGTGATCTGATCTTATCTTATCTTTCTTCAGTATATCAAGCAGTGTTCCTTCACTAACCCACCTGACCACTTTACCAATTCCTGCTCATTAAACAACCTGCTCTGAATTTGTTGTTCTCCTTAGTATAATCTTCAGATCCAGTCTTCACTAGTACTTCAGGACTGGAAGACATTTCGTCCAAGGTATAGGGAAGCCATAGAATGCCCCAGGGCATTCTAGCCTGTTTCAATATTAGTGTATATTGCAATTCTCACATTACGAAGCAGGTAATTATGAGCACACAAAAAGCACAAGAGACAAGAGGAAGACACTTGACCCATCTAGGTCATTTGGTGAGAATGCTGGAGGTGTGGCATTGTGTAGTTTCTAAAATACTTTATTGAGATTTTCATCATTTAGATACAGAAAATTCTATTTTAATGTTCATTCAGCCTTGGTTCAAATAAAAGGTGAAACACATTGCATCTGTCCCCTCTTTCTATTTCGTTTGTTGTCCTTCAAGGCTGTCATGGTCCTGTAATGATCTGCAGTGCTCACAAATGAAATAGGCAATGTTTCATTTAGAAAACAGAATGTCAAAATGGCACCCACTCACTCAGAAATGGGCTGTAATCGTGGAAGAAACTGACATAGACATTTAGGCCTACCTTCACATCGTTGTTGCTTGTGATGATCCAGAGCAGCTCTTATATTCTTACAGTGTATACTGTGCAGTGACAGCTCTTGTCAATTACAGTATGTCCAATGCACGAACGCTGTGGCAGCCATACAATGTTTACGCAAAGGCTGAAAGTGAAGAACTGGATATATCACTTTAGCCATTAGTGTCCTCTAATCTCAAACGACAAACAGAAATGCTGTGTAATCAGATCTTTTCTACCTCATGAAAAGAAAGACACAGTGGAGGTAAACTTATCGTAGGTGATGTAATGCGTGTAACTCAACTCTGGCCCTTCTGGGATTCAACTGGTCAACTGGATTCAGAGGACACACAGCGCCACCACCAGACATCGCTGAAATCTGTTACACCAAAAGACTCTTGTCACAGGAACCCTGAAACCTTAAAACTCTGATTTTTAACTCCTTTAGGAACAAAGCCACCTAAAATTAGCTAAGGCTTATTTAGATACTATAAGCCTGGATTTATATCCATTCTCTTAATGAAAGAGTTGGAAATCTTGCCTTATTAGCATTATCATCATCTGTTGTACATAACCAACACCTCCTTTAATTCAAATTCACGAGATGGATGTGTAAAATATTGTAAGTTTTTACATGTTTCTGTTGGAACTTTGGGCTAATTACCTTAGAAATTAATTAAAATTGGTTCTCTCAAGTCATTCAATAATGTGCAGTTCCTTTGACTGGTTCTTTTAAGCACACTCTTCATTTATTGTTCTTTTCAAATAGCTGTCAAATCACTTTTGAGGACTTGAGTCCTAATTACACTCAGTAATGTGAGTGTTGAATTAAATGAGTAAGTTCTATATTTCATGCATTTATTTAGTCCAGTGATCTTTGCAATGGTCATGATAGGCAGAAACACTAAAGAAGCAACATAGTGTTGCCCAGTGCTGACCTTTCAGGAAATCCTTACAGCTTTCAGCTGGGTACGAAATATTTGTGTGGGGATCTGTTGCTAGGGCTCTTAGGACTACTTTGTGTAGACACTATGTTAATGTCATATTATTAATATCTATGTATATATTAACAATATATTATAAGTAGTATTGTTATTATGTTTCTTATGTTTGTAACGGGAGCTGGTCCAGGCTCCAGCGAAGCATAGTTCAGGACCCTATCCAGACGGTATAATCCGGAAGTAAGGACATTTGGGAAGGTACAGCAGGATCGGACAGGTAGACAGACAGGGGGGCATGACGACGGTGATCTGGTGCTCGGGGGGCGTGGCAAGGGCAAACAGGTCCAGACAGTCCAAAAGGGGGAATCCAGGGCGCGGTCCAAGTCCAAATCTGGGGGATCCATCCAAGACAAAATAAACACAGTTAAAAGGGATCCGGAACAGGGGCAGGGAATAAAACCAGGATAACAAGGCCAGGTGCTCGGAGCCCTGGACTCAGATGGTCAGGAAGCCTAATGAAGTCTATGCCGCTGGTAGGCGCGCTTCTGGGCATCTAGCTCCCAATTCTGAACCCAGAATACTGAGAGTGCCAGGCTTAAATAATGAAACACAAAATAGAGGGTAGGTGCACAAAATCAACTAAATTACAAAAGTGTCGGAGCCCCCTTAAGAAGAGGGAACCCGATCGTGACAACGTTCTTAACAATTTCAGTAAACTGACAGACCAATGCGGTAAAGCCAATTTTTTCCTGACTAAACAATTTCAAATAGTTAGCAGAAATATATTTGAATGATACAGCAGTTAGTACATTTATTTACACTTTTTTATACTACAGAAAGAACAGGTTAGTTGCTTTTCAGAAATCTGGTTGTGCTGGTTTGTTTGGGGATTTTTTCTAACAGATTTACTAAGATTTTCAATTACTGTTTATAAATAGAACTTTAAGTGTGTGTTTCACATGCATTTTTGGTTTGAAAGCTGCAATTTTATCTTGTCAAGGTGGTGCTTTCACAGTCTGAAAACACTATAAGCCATAATCTTATAGCCTTTAATGCAGGGAAGTCCCGTTAGGGTAAAAAAATCTATCTGTTAGAAGACAAAAATATCATTTTTATGACAGAGAAGAGTTGCTTTGTCAGACCTCCAGAGTGATATATATAGCCATGCAATGGGGTTAAATGTTTTGACTTTGCTTCAATAAATCCTCCGATGCAATCATAAATTGTAATTGCTATTCTGGACATGCAAATATTTGAGCTTTACACTTCAGAAGGCAGAATGTGTCAACAAAATGCTAAGATCTGAAGTTTAACACATCTAAAATGCATGTTTTCTTGACAAAATGTAATGGGCTTGGGCATGACGTCAGCGTACACAGCTG